TGGGTGGTATCTTAAGCATACATAAGTCCTCAAAGCCCGCCTCCACAGTGACACACTTCCTCCAACTAGACCACACCTACTCCAACAAGGCCACACTACTCAGTAGTGACACTTCCTTTGGGGGCTATTTTGCTTCAAACTACCACAAGGGTGTTGGATTTTGTTAAAGGCTTTTTCAGCATCTTGTGAAATGATCTCTTGATTTTTTTCTGTCAGTTTGTATCAATATATGTTGGAATATATTGATAGATTTTCATATGTTGAACCATCCTTGCATCTCTGTGGTGAGGTCTACTTGATCATGATGAAATCTTGGATTTGGTTTGTATTATGGAGTATTTTCCATCAGTGTTCTTGAGGGAAATTGGTCTGTAATTCTCTTTCTTTGTTGAGTCTTTGTGCGGTTTTGGTATCAGGGTGACTATGGCCCCATAAAGTGAATTTGGCAATGCTCCTTCTGTTTATATTTTGTGGAATAATTTGAGGAGTATTAGCATTTGCTCCTCTTTGAAAGTATGGTAGACTTTTGTGCTAAAACCATCTGGCCCATGGCTTTATTTGGTAGGGAGACTTTTAATGACTTCTTCTATTTCCTTAATGGTTATAGGTTTATTTAAACTGTTTATCTGGTCTTGATTTAACTTTGGTAAGTAGTGTCTATCAAGAAATTTGTTCATTTCTTTTAGATTTTTCCAATTTTGTGGAATACAGGGTTTTGTAGTATGACCTAATGATTTTTTGGATTTCATCCATGTCTGTTGTTATATCCTCATTTTTGTTTCTGATTTTGTTGATTTGGATATCCTCTCTCTGCCTTTTAGTTAGTTTGACAAAGGTTTGTCTGTCTTGTTGATTTTCTCAAAGAACTAGCTTTTTGTTTCATGTATTCTTTATATTGTTCTCTTTGTTTCTATTTTATTGATTTCAGCCTTCAGTTTATTTTCTAGCATCTACTCCTCTTGGGTGTGTTTGGTTCCTGTTGTTCTAAAACTTTCAAGTTTGTTGTTAAGTCTCTAGTATGAGATCTTTCCAATTTCTCTATGAGTCACTTAGTACTATGAACTTTCCTTATATTACCACTTTGATTGTGGTCCATAAATCTAAGTATGTTGTGCATTCATTTTTATTGAGTTCTAGGAAGTCTTGAATTTCTTTCTTTCTTATTGACTAAGTAGTCATTCAATAGAGAGTTGTTTAGTTTCCATGAGTTTGTATACTTTCTGTTGTTTCTTAAATCTAGGTTTAAGCCATGCTGATCTGATAAGACATATGTGTATGCGTGTGTGTGTGTGTGTGTGTGTGCGTGTGTGTGTTTCAATTTTCTTGTGCTTATTTAGACTTGCTTTGTGATGAAATATGTGGTCAATTTTGGAGAATGTCTATGAGGTGCTGAGAAGAAAGTGTATTCTTTCGTATTTTGGTGAAATGTTCTGAAGATATTTGTTAGGTTCATTTGACTCAAAGCATCTGTTAGTTCCATTATTTTTCTATTTAGCTTCTGTCTGGATAACCTGTCTATTGGTGAGAGTGTGGTGTTTAAGTCTCCCACTATTAATGCTTGGGATTCAGTGTGTGATTTAAGCTTTAGTAACATTTCTTTTACAAATGTGGAACATTTGGGGCATAGATGTTCAAAACTGAAATATCATCTTCCTGGATATTTTCTTTGATGAGTCTGAGGTGTCCTTCCCCATTTCTTTTGCTTAATTTTGGTTGGGTCTATTTTATGAGATACTAGATAGATACACTTGATTGCTTCTTGGGTCCATATTTTCTTGAAAAATCTTTTTCCAATCCTTTGATCTCAGGAAATTTCTATCTTTGATGTTGAGATGTGTTTCTTGTATGCAACAGAAGAATGGAACCTGTTTTTACATTCATTCTGTTAGCCTGTGTCTTTATTGGGGAATTGAGTCCGTTGATACTGAAAGATATTGATGACTAATGATTATTAATTCTTGTTTTTTTTGTGTGTGTTTGTTTGTGTATGCCTCCCTTCTTTTGATTTTGTTTGTGTGAGATTATTCATTTCTCGTGTTTTCTTGGGTGTAGTTAACCACCTTGGGTTAGAGCTTTCCTTTAGTACCTTCTGTAGGGCTGGATTTGTGGATAGATATTGTTCAAATTTAACTGTCATAGAATATTTTGTTTTTTTCATCTATGGTAATTGAAAGTTTTGCTGAGTATAGATAGTAGTTTGAGCTGGCATTTGTGCTCTATTAGAGTCTGCAAGATATCTGTTCAGCCCCTTCTGGCCTTTAGCGTCTCCACTGAGAAGCTGGATGTAATTCTAATAACTCTGACTTTATATATTACTTGGCCTTTTTTCCTTGCAGCATTTAATCTTCTTTCTTTGTTCTGTATGTTTAGTGTTTTGATTATTTTGTGGTGGTGAGGAATTTCTTTTCTGATCCATTTTTTTGGTGTTCTGTAAGCTTCTTGTATCTTTCTAGACATCTTCTTTAGGTTCTGAAAAATATCTTTTATGATTTTGTTGTAAATATTTTCTGAATCTTTGAGCTGTGAATCTTCTCTTTCTTCTCTTCTTATTATTCTTAGAATTGGTCTTTTCATAGTGTCCCTGATTTCCTTGATGTTTTGTGTTAGAAACTTTTTAGATTTAACATTTTCTTTGACTAATGTATCAATTTCTTCTGTCATATCTTCTATGCCTGAGAGTCTATCTTCCGTCTCTTGTATTCCATTGGTAATGCTTGTGTCTGTTGTTCCTGTTCACTTACGTAGATTTTCCATCTCCAGGATTCCCTCCGTTGAGTTTTCGTTATTGCTTCTATTTCCATTTTCAGGTCTTGAACAATTTTATTCATTTCCTTCATTTGTTTGTTTCTGTTTTCCTGGATTTCTTTAAGGGATATGTCCATTTCCTCTTTAAGGGCCTCTATCATCTTCGTAAGATTGGATTTAAAGTCATTTTCTTGTGCTTCATCTGTGTTGGAATCTCCAGGGCTTACTGTAGTAGGATATCTGCCATATTGCCCTGGCTGCTTGATTGTGTTCTTATACTGGTCTCTAGTCATCTGGGTTTGGGGTTTAGGTGTCAACTTCTGAGTTTATTTTTGTTGGGTGACTGTTTTTGAATGTCCCGTGCCCCAGGTTTCTATTTCCTCTCTGGTCTTCTGGCTGATGGACCTGTGATTCTGGTGTCCATCAAGTCTTCATGCCCAGTAGGGTGTCTATTCTGGGGTTTTGGTGGCCTGTGTGGCCTCTGATGTCAGGAACCAGCTTGGCCTCTGGCAGAGTAGGGGTCCTCTGCTGAAGTTTTGGGCTGGGATATAGAGCCAAAGGGAGAAGGCTCTGTTGAGGATAACTGGGGGCAGGCTCTAAGGAGTGTTAGTGGGTGGGTTGGGGGAGGCTTTCCTGGAGTTCCTAGGACTGGTGTGGTTTCCAATAAAGCAGAAGTTTTCTGCCAAAGTTGTGGTCTAGGATATGGAACTTAGGGGAAGAAGGAGGTCCTGTCTGCTTTTCTAACATTTATTTATATAGAACAGTGGATATATTTCCATGTCTACACATATGAACTTCTCCCATTGCTATTTATGACTTTATGACTTTATGGTATTTAAAGTAAGGCTGTATTATTATTTAAGCAAGACCTTGGATGATGTGCATTGAGACACATTTGTGTGCATGTGTGTGTTGTTGTTGTCATTTAAAGCAATATCTGACATATCTATATCTCTATATTTTTATACACATATTATTTTCATAGAACATATTTCTAAAAGTGAGATTGCCAAAATAGCAATAAACTCTTACCTCTTACAAAGATTGTATACTTTTTATTTTTTCTGCCGAAAGAAAGCTCAACATAATACTTTCATATAACTTTTTTTTCCAGTGGCTTTTGCAGGGGACATTATTCTTTGTCACCTTTACAGACTGGCAGTTCTGATGCAAAAAATTGGAAGCCCTAGTGATAAATCTGATTTAGACTTGAGAGGATCTAGCGAGGAAAATACCACGGTTGCCCCCTTCTGTGTTATCCTGTCTCTAAATTTTGCCGCGCACACACTGACGGACAGTGAAAGACTGACAGGCTGTCTCAAGGCCAGAGGAGAGGAGGGAAATCTGAAGTGCAGGCTCCGCAGCCACAGCGAGTAGAGCCTGTCCCCCGAGCCCACCTAACACACAGAGTGTGGCCACAGCGAGAACGACATTCAATCAGCTGCCATTTAATGAAGTGGGCAGACTTCAGGCTGTGATTGTATCAAGGGCGCCTGAAAATGTCATGTACACCATGGTACAGAATGCCGGTGTATTCACTGGTTGTAATAGTAATAGCCTAGCATCCATTTTTCCTATCTCTGCTGTTTGCTCTCCTATTATAAGAACTTAAAAACGTTTCTGTCACATTTCTTTTCCGATTATTGAATGAGTATATTCTCTTTTGAAAAAAGAAGAAAAGCACAAAGATGCAGGATAAGATTTGCTCGTAATCTCTCCCCGCAGGAGCTGAAAGAGCAGATGCTGGTGTTTGGCTCTGACATTATACACATGCAGCTGGCTCTCTGCGCCCACAGGCTCTTCATGCAAAAATCCAGCCAACCGTGGGTACTGATTTAAATATTTCTGATCTAAAATATTAGGTCAGAATGCACTGGTACTAAACAGGCGTAGATTGCTTTTTATTGTTATGATTCCCTACATAACACCTATTTACATAGCATTTACACCGTGTTAGGTATTGTATGTAATCTTGAGATGATTTGACATAAGCAGAAGGATAAAGCAGGCTATGTGCAAACACGGGATGTATGTGAGGGACCTAAACACCTGCATATCTAGGTGTCAGGGAGGGTGGCATGGGCCGGGAGAGGAGAGGATGGAAGGACCCAGAAACCAATCTCCTTACATATTGAGAGAGCACTGCATTGCTGTTGGGTCCACAATAACCATGTACCACCCTTAGTGGAAGTATTTTGAATTGCAGTTACTCAGATGATCAATCATTTGCAAATGAATGAATAGTGAAGAGGAAATTGCAAGCATGCTCCCTTTATTTCAAGACAGAAGCCACTGGAAGCCTAAACAGGGGAGCAAAGAGAACAGAAGCAGTGCAGGCTCGGGACTAGAGCGGGACTGTCCACAGGTGCTGGAGAGGCTTCAGGTAGAGGTTGTGCAACAGCCTGCTGTTATTGATGTAGGTGTTCTTGTTTTCATTAACCAAAGCCAAGTCCATTGAAAAGTGGTGTAAACAGGCCAATTTGATCGCCTGTTTGGTGGTTTGGAGGAAAACGAAAACAGGCTCCCCAGATCTAAAAAATAAGGAAAGATTAAAGTGCCTGCACGCGCGCGCGCGCGCACACACACACAGTGTGTGCGTGGAGAGAGCAAGCTAAAAGGAAGAAGAAACCCAAACACGGAAACAAACAGACCCTCTTTGTGTCTGAGAGTTGGGAAGGCATGGGAAACTGGCCAAGCAGCTGTGAGAAGAGCGAGCGAGGAACGAGGAGATGGGTTTATTTGTAGGCGTTAAGGAAAGGGGCCCTTGGATGTGGGCATGATTTGCTTCTCTTTGAAGCATGCTCTCAAGGTTTCCAGTTTAATTACATCAGCGGTGACTAGAGGCACGCTGCTCAGGCATTGCCTAGGCAACCCTCCGTCATGGATGCCCACACTGGGCAGAGGCCAGGGAGAGGGCGGCTGGATCACAGCAGGGATTTCTGACCCTGCCACATTTGAGGGGCTCCTTAAATGTCAACATATTCCATTATCCCCACAGGTGGATGCTTGTGCTTTTAGCAGCTCTTTGTGTTTTGTATTTGTTGACACAGTGGTGGCGCCCACCCTTCCTTGACGACAGAGCTAGGGTGTGGGTTTCTAGTGTGCCCGAGTTCTTGGAGCACTGGGTTGCTCTGGGGCCCTAACGTTGGTCCTTGTAGGCCACGAGACACCTGGAAATCATTTATGGCAGAGATGGTAATGAGGCTCCCAAGGTGTCCTGGGAGAAAGCACAGAGACATTTTCATGATGGTCCTGGAGCAGAATCAAGCTAGAAACAGGCAGGTTCTGATGTAGGCCTCTGAGCCTGGAACCCCAATTTTTCTTTCTTTATTATTTTTGTTTTTCCTTTTTTCATTCTTTTGTTTTTTGAGATATGGTGTTACTATATAGCCAAACTCATTATGTAGCTCATATTGATCTTAAACTCTTTGGATTCTTCTGCCTTGGGACTTCTGAGCGCTAAGATCACAGGTATGAGCCACTGTGCCAAGTTCTAGGTCTTTTTTCTTGCACTCCTGTGCAAAATCGCTTGTGCTTATGACTTTCTCTGGGATCTGCCATTTTCCCAGAGTCTTGAGAACTCAGGAATTTTGCACGGTTCTGCACTCCTTTCTCTGCCTCCACAGAGGCAGCCATTTGGAAGCAGTGGGTGACAGCGCGTGCATTGTCCCCATCTCCCCAGTGAGCACTGCACAGGGAGCCATGCTGGAGATGGGGCTTCTTCCCGTCCTGTATCCCTGTGACATGTGAGACTCCTTCCTGGTGGCTTTCCCTGTCTACTTTTGCAGAGTTACATCCAAGGTCAAGAAAGTAGAAAATCATGACAAGATCCTACAGGCAGTGGCAGAGGAAGGGACTTGGGAAGGCACTCTTGACTTTGCTGCTTTTTCAAATGACAGTCTAATAAGATCCCTTTCTGGGAACCCCACACGTGTACCAGGCACACTGCTTGCCATCCAGGCCGCTCCTGGAGAGCTGGGAGACAAGGGCTTGCTTCTGCAGGTGAGGCCAACCCACTGGGCACTGAGGTGAGGGCTCCCATCACAACAGGTGTGGTCTTCTTCTTTTAAGCCTCCTTCGACACTCTTGCCTCAAGAGACGCTGACGCTCACCTCTCTGTAAACCATAGCTGTTTGTGTTTGCCCTCAGCAGACCTGGGCCTTGTTTTGAGCTGGGAAATAAACACTCTAGACAAGGATACGGAGTTCCTGACTCGGGACACTTACTTACTCTTTTAGTCAGGAATGAACACCTAAACCCATGACTGAAGTAAGACAACAATGTGGGGGAAAGGAACAGAAAAGACCTGTCTACCACAATCGGAAAGCAAGCAAAAAGGGCCATAGCATGCAAGAAGGGGCACAACATGCAGAAAGGGGCACAACATGCAGAAAGGACCGCAGCATGCAGAAAGGACCGCAGCATGTCAGCCGGGTGGCACGGGGGTTGAGAGGCTGATCCGGCCTCATTCCTGAGAGTGAGGATGTTTTCCTCAACTTGGTGTCCTAAGCATCTGCGCAGTACTTTAAACCAAGCTCTGAGAAATCCACTTTTGTTCTTAAGCCAATTAGCGCTTATATAATATGACATATGATTAGTTTTCATATGACTTAGTCTTCCTATGATAATAAAGGGAGAAGAGACAACATTTTGCAATTATCAGAAGCCCTGCTGTAACCGACCAAGTCACAAAGGAGGACTTGATTGTGGGTTGGTCCTGATGCAGGCCCAGAGCAGAGCAGTTCCCCTTCCGCCTCTCATCTGAGTTGCTTGGGGCCTTCACGTTCATTCTGGACATTGTGTGAGCCTCCTAGTCTCAACTGTGAGCCAGGTTCCAGGGTCGAGGTTGTGCTTTCCCTCAACCTCTCTGTGCCACTTCCGCACCATGTGACCTCCCCGCGCTTCTGTTTTCTTACTAGTAAAGTAGAGAAGACAGTGCCCACCTCACAGGTTACTCATGAGCATTAAAGGAGCCAGCACCTGCCTGGAACACAGTTAAGCACCAGTGACCACGTCCTACCTCTGTTACTTGTTTCCAGCTCCGCACTCACTGTCCGATCCTTAATTAATCATGGGATAAACTCAAAACCCTTGCAATCTGGTCTCCAGCACCCTTGTGTCTTCTTCATGTATCTGATGTACGTATGAGTCTCCCCTCTCTGGTCTGTTTCCCTTCTCTATAAACCACTCCTCTCTCTCTGCTGCCCTTACTCCCTTCTTTTTGTGACCCTAAGAATGTTCTACGCCTGTTAAGTTTAAATTGGACCTGCAAAGCCCACCAGAGTGCGCCTTGGTTCTCGTCCACCATTTCCTGCACAGGGGTGGTCAGATGGAAGGGCAGACCCACTCTGGGCCAGGCTGCTGCTCTTCTGGGTTAGTCTCCAGTGAGTGGATTTTTGCCTGCTATTGAGAACCTTCCTACACCTGAATTTATTAAGATGAAAGACTCTTTATTATGGCTTTCTTGAAAGAAGAAAAATCAAAGAAACGAGCTTCCAAACAGCCACAGTTTTATAGAAAAAACATTATTTCTAAGCTAACTGTTTTTCTTTTCTTTCTTTTTTTTCATGAAGGAAATCAAGAAGCTGTAGCTCCCGGTGAAGCCATGCTGACCCAGAGCAGCTCAGCTCTGCTCTGAACCTACTTTACCAGCTTCTGCTCAACAGAAGCCACTCTAGGTTCTGGGACAGGGTTGGCCATGCCCTTTGGGAATCTCTCCAAAATGTATCTTCTTTTTGAGTTGGTTAATTATTTGCCCAGAACATTTACATAACCCAGCTTCTGGGTGTTCACTGGCAAAGAAGCCAATAGAGCCTCACGGACCACTTGGAAGCAAGGACAGGGAACTCCTACCGCTGGGTCTTCACCGCACCAACTTGAGGCATTAGCTGCTGGCCACGCCTCCCTTCTCCCTTGGTGGGTATCAGAGGGGCTCAGGAGCAGGGACTGCAGGTGTGCATGCTGGCATGTGTGTATAAGATCGTTTCTGTGTACCTGTGTGAGCACAGGTGCTCACATGACTCCCAGAATGAATTTCCTGTGGGGAAGAGGGACTGGTCCTGACACTTGCTTTCCCAGGAGTTCTTGTGTTTGATAGAACAGGGATTTTCAGGGACTGTAGGGTTCTCACCACTCTGAGGTCACAGCACCTTCTTGCCTGTGTGTTCCTGTGGGTCACCGGGGTCTCTCTTCTTTTCTGATAGATTAAACCTAGGCCCTTCTCATATTATCAATTAGGCTCATGCTGAGTGGAGTCTGAGAGGAGCAGCTGTGTTAATGATGGTGGCGGTCTAAATGCTAGCTACATTTGCCTATAACCCTTGCTTCTCACCATCTCTTAAGACCAGGAGACAGGGTGGTATGTGGTAAGCAATGAAGGGCTGAACAACTCCGATCAAGGAGAGTTTCTGATGGTGTCCTGCTCCCCCTGCAGCCTGTCTTCTGTCCACATAAGCTGCCTTCTCCGAGAGGTGCTCCCTGCCACATCCCATTGCTACCTTGTCTTCAGAATCTAACTCTGGTCTTCACCCTACCAGGAGCCATATCCTATGACCTCAGGGCCCTGCCTCGGGGTTTTCAGAATCTGAAAAGGGCCTGGACTTTGACATAGAGACTCTGTAAGCGATTGTGGAATTCATCTGGATTCGAGACTGAGGCACAGCCAGCTCCGAGCACTGCTTTCCAGCTTGGTTGGTTACTGTCTTGTGGTTCAGAAGCAACCGGAAGATAAGAAGTAGCTTTGTGGGTTTCTGGTCCACCCTGTAGAATCCACTTACTTCCAGAACACCTCTGTGTCATAGGTATTTGTAGGTACACAGGTCTTTCCCCCTTTTGTTCGTGGTGATTTACAGGGCAGTTTGACCTCTGGCTCCCTGGCTTTTTGTTATTGCACTGGCCTGAGGGTTTAGTTTAGAAAGAACTTGGCCCTCTTTTGTTATGGTAATTCCACCTGTAAATAAGGTTCCAGTTGTGGGCCCTATAGCCTGCCACGCCTGCCTTCCGCAGCTGCTTATGGCCTTGGGCACCGGGCACCTGTCATCCTCTTCCACTGCTCCTGATGGGAGGGGGCTTTGCCCTTTTGCCCCCTTTGCCCACTAATATATATACCCGACTTGAGTTTAATAAAGTGGCCATTTACTCTTTGGTGAATGAGCAGGTCTCCTTGTGTCTATGTGCTTTAACCCTTAGGATATTTATCCATTCTCGTGGACTCAGTTTGGGAAAGCGCGCACCTGAATCGGGTGTGGGAATTCACAGAAAAGTGCAGAGCCAACAGGTATTCTAGAACACAGTAGTATCCCCCCAGGGAAGTGTTCACAGGCCCCAGTTTCGGCTCTAGTCTTACCTAATGGCAGCTTTTGAGCTGTTGATTCTTGGCCCTGAAGCGACCTGTGTACACCATCTGGTGACACTGGGGCTGTACACATACAGGTGGTGATTTTTCCTTTGCCAGACGACATTCCAGGGTCTTCTAAAGGGGCAAAAGTGTCTGTAAGAGAGGGAAGGAGGTTCCTTCTGCTTGCTAACTTTTTTTTTTGTATGGCTTCAGGACAGATGGCAATGGTGGGTGAGGTGGTGGTTTCTGTTGTCAGCTTTCTATTGCCCCTCTGTTCCTAGCATCAACCTCCGTGGAAGCCCCTACTCCACACCTGTACTAGCTGGGTGGGAACACATCCTCAGAGCTGAGTTTGAGTTCAGAGCCCCTGATTACCTCTTCATTCATCTCCTAACCCACAGAGCCATCAGCGGGGATTGTCTTCTGTCCTTCAGTGCCCATTTGTCCAATTCCCCACATCCAGTTTTCTTTTACGATAACTGGGGTGGTGGTAGGGGTGCGGGTGCTGCTGTCATGGCCCAGTTGGCAGGTGAACACCCCGCTAGTTCTGCTGGATTCTTGGGTTTCTCCCTCAGGCATTTATGTCACACTTTAATTGCCTAAAGTGCACCTTCCAGAATTTTCCTTTATTCCTGCTGGATGTGCCAATCCAGGGCTTACCTCACCCCTGCCCACTCATGCACCCCACTGGTTGGGAGGATTGTCTGTGCTGGAATCCCTGCACAGACCTGCACAGCTACAGAGAACCCTCCTGTCTTCTCTCAGTCCCTACAATCCATTTCCCTAACAAAATGTGAACAGGGCGGAATGGCACCTGTTCTACGATTCTTGTGGCTTCGGAGGCACTCACGCCCTGATGCTCTTAGGCCCTGCAGAGATTCTTTTCCTGCCCCACTCTTCCCTTGGTTCCCACACTCTAGTCTCCCCGCTGTGCCCATTTTCCCAACATGCCAAGCCCCGTGGTGCTTCTAGGCCTTGACACTGCTGCCTTTTTGTGTAGAACACGTTTCTCCTCTACTCATACCTGGCTGGCTCCTTCTGACTCCTGAGGAAGTCGCTTCAGGCTTTTTAAGGAGACACCCTGTCCAGAGTTCATACTTCCCAGGCCTCGCCTCTTTCTTTTCTAGGGCTTCCAGTCATTTCTAATCAACTGTGTGTCTCACTTGGTCTATCCTACCCATTAAATTAGGATATATGCAGGGTGAGCATTGGATCTGTTTCATCCAGTGCCAGGTTCCCAAAGTTCCTCCACCCGCACTGCAGACGTGCTAAGGGAGAGGATGAATTTGGAATAAGCGTTTAAGGAAGAAACAAGATAACTGACGACTGCTCCACCACTAAGAGATGTTTTCAGGGGCTCTTTGCTACCCATCCCTTCCCGAGTTACAACCCTTCTTCTAAAGAAAGACTGCCAGGGATGGTGAAACGTGTGACTATGTGGAGAAGATGGTTCAACGTGGCAACATGCATGCACACACACATACATAATACATACATACATATCTACCCATGTGAATATGTATTTAAGTATCTCTTGATTATCTTTAGAATACCAACACAGTACTAAAACACATGATATGTTTGTACCTCAAGCATGATCCATGATCCTCAGAGATTTCCATGGGGATTATAGCCTCAAGGGCCAAAGAAGGGACAAGAGTGTCGGTGTTCAGAAACTCAGCTTACATTTGAAAGACTCAGCTCCTGGTCTGGTGGCTTCTCAGAGACCTCAGCTTCTTTAGCGCCAACAGGCAAGCTCATGTGGTCTCTCTAGAGGTACCGTCTGGATGTCTGAATTCTTCATTTCTACCCAGTCCTTGTTGGCTCCATGAGTAGGTGTGATCATTATAATGTGATATTCATACAGTTAATTTTTTTAAAGTTTAATTTCACTTCAGTTTATCAGTGGTGGAATCCCTGCTGGCATGCCATTTAATTTGCTCCCTGTGCTAATGATGATTCTGAAGCTTTTCAAAGAAATGATTATATGATAATACCCAATTTGATGGTGGATTCGAGCCATCATCTACAGGGATGGGATCATAGCAAAGCTCCCTGGGGCATCCGTTCCTGTAATGTGTCCCAGGAATCCGACTGCATCTGCTGTGCTCTAAGGTACAGAGGAGTGAGAAGAGGAAGGCCTAACCCTTTTCCTGGGCCAGAGGCCGACTGCAGACCCTGGGCAAAGGCTGTGGGAGGGCACGGGCTAAATAATTCGGAAGAGCACTCACAGTGTTGGCCACTGCATGTTGAGATAGATTACATGTTGAGGAAAATCGTTTCCCACCAATCACTGACTAGCTCAGATACCCAAAGCTAGTTAGACCAGCACTAGAATGGACACGCAGGGGTCCCCACTTCTAGACAGAATACTCTTTACCACCTAGGTACCTGCCACTTGTTCCATACATAGCACAGTGGAATTCTGAGTCCAGGGCTGGACCTGAGCTATAGAGACCTACGGGCTTGCTTCTTTGTGTCTTAGTTTCATCATAATGAGCCAATCACAGAAGGTTATGATGTCAGACATTTCCTTTTATTGGCTTTTTAGGAGACTCCTTTTGGAAAACCCAGAGGTACTGGAGACCCTCATCTACAACCTCCTTGAAGAACATGGTGAGAAAAACACATCCGGATACATTAGCTCCGTCTCTGAGCAGAGCAGTTCTGAGCGGTGTTCAAAGACTAGAAGCGCTTCTGCAAGGCAGACTGGATATTCTTCAGCAGGCCCCACTTAGCTCGGTTCTTCCCACGCCCATCTGGTGTTACCACCTGCAACAGGAAGCAAAGACTGCATGGGACCGGCCACAAAGGGACACCAGCCCCTAGAGCGCAGGCCCACTCCGTCCACCCTGACAACCATGGAGAGCCTGAACGGCCAGTCCCCCTTAGAGAGGTAGAGATCCAGCCTCAGGGGAGCACAGAGCGTTCCCAGTGGCCACAGCTGCTGTGTGCTGGTATCGCTGCTCTACAGAGTAAGTGTTACTTCTTTAAAGGCAGTTCACACAGTCAGATGAGGGCAGGCATGATAAACTAGCCCCCAGATAAACTCCAGCCTCGGGAACGTTCTGGAACATTCGGGAACGTTCTGTTTCTTTCCCATCTCTCCCCAGTTCTAAGTTTCAGCTGAGGCGTTTGGTTTCTCTACTAAACTTGGAGTGACCTGCTTTGGGGAAATGACAGGCTTTTTGTTTGTTTGGAATCTCTGTAGTCTCAACTTTGCCTAAGGTAAAGAGCAGATTCTTAGAGATGTGCATGAAAGATGAAAAGACCATAATTTGTAAGATGTTCAGTTCACCCCCCCCCTTTATACAAACAGGAATGCTTTGTACAAATTTTGGTAAGTGAATGATCCATCAGGACCAGCCACAAAAGGACGTTCATCAACAACATCCTTGAAGAACATGGTGAGAAAAACACATACAGATACGTCTATGGACAGTGCGGTTCTGAGCGGTGTTTAAGGCTAGAAGCGCTTCTGCAGGGCAGACTGGAATCAGCGCTACCTGGGGAAGGCAGGCTGTACCTGGCAGCAGGACCTTCTCAGAAACCTCAGAGATCAGCTTCATCGTGGTTGCCATAGCTTACTTTGAAGGTGGTGGGCTTTCTCACTTCTCTGACCTGGTAACATTACCATCCCCTAATACACATTTATTGAGGAGAGGAGGTATTTAGGGACAAAAGTTGGGATGAAAGATCCCACTGCTCATACAACATTGATGAATGAATACATGGGAGGAGGTGGATTTGGTGGAGAAAAAGAGATATTTACACAAAGCATAAAGTTTCTATGATAATTTTTAAAATCTTTTATATTTATATTGAGCAAAAATAGAGGTGGTACATAGATATAATCCTGATAACAATAAAATAAAAATATATGATACATACAGAGCTACTGGGGACAGTGGAAGAAGCCTAATGGTGCTGTGTGTTATGGGGTTTGGAACTACATTGAAAAGTAGATATTTTAAACTTTTGTCTTAAACTATAGTAGGGATCTTCGAAGACAAAGATTGGGTGATGTAATGGACAGAGGGGGTTGAAGAGTGTTTATGAACAAGAGAATCAGACAGAACAGAGGCCAGAAGAAGCAGGAAGACAGACTTGAAATGCTACTGAAATTGAAATTATAGTTGGTATCTCCTTGTCCCAAGAGCCTGACTCAGCACTCTCCAGGGAATCACGCTGGAGCTGTGTGGTGGGACAATTCTGGAAAAGGAGAGGTGCGTGAAGGCTCATCAGCTCCTGGAAGCCCTATTTGAAAAACTGATTCTAGAATCACATAAAAACAGTGCGGGCAAACAGTGATGCACCCAGTTCACTTATGACCATAGATGCAATCATATAAAACCAAACATAAGGTAACTGAAATGGCTGTTAGAATGGCACAGTCAAGCAATACATGGTGATAACCAAAGACTTAGTTCACATAGCTAAGTAGAATCCAGCATCAGAAGAGATAACCATAGTGCTGGGGGATGCTTAAGATAGAGCTTGGGCCAGGTCCTTGGGTTTAGTTCTTGGCACCATAACCAAACCAAAGCAAACCAAACCAAAAAAAAAAATCATAATTTACTTCATTAATAGTGACCTAAAGGAGAAAAACCATGAAATTATGTCAAACCATGAGAATAAATAATTTTCTATGCACAAGCTCGCAGAAACCTGGAAGTCAGAGGGCCTTTCCTTAACTCAAAGCCTATAAACCTAAAAACTTAATAAAAAAACCATTAAGACAAGGGAGAAAGTTTAGCATCAGCAAATGACAAGTGTATCCGCTATCACTACTGTTATTTTATGTATGACTCAAGGCTCTCGCTAAAGCGATTAGGAAAGAAAAAGAAATATAAACTCAAAGACTGTGAGGGAAGAGATAAAATCACCATTACTTATAAATAATAAGATTATATACCTGGAAAAACAAGTTGAATCAGATAATAGAGTCCATGAAGATTTGCTAGAATTCAGATTTATCTATAGAGAACAGTAGTTCTTCTGAGCCAGCCTTCTATTAGGAATACACTAAGACAAAGAACAATCACTCAGACTATCAAAGTCTGTGCACTATTCACTTTTTATCTTCCTAGATATATTTAAGAGGTACAATGTCTGTTGATATACATACACATAGTGAAACTTTCCAATAAGCAAATCAGCAAATCTGTCATTTCACATAACCACTGGCTTACTATGTGATTCTGCATCTAAAATCATTACAAATTTAGCACACATGACACGGTGTCATGCTGCTCATTAGCTCACGAAACTACATAGTTTACCCTGGAACATGGGGTTGAAGGCCCCAGGAAACTTCGTAAATGTTTGCATAAATGTTCAGACATACGGCAAACATATCAACTGCCTTCCAATTAATTGCTCACTGGTTTTCTAATCAAATTTTGTCTGAATTTAAAAAAGAATTAAAAAAAATAAGCATAGTGAGTTCCTTCAACGTTTGTATAAATAAATCAGCCCCCAAGGTTAATTAATTTAGGTTTTTAAAAATAAACAAAGGTAATGGGGATGCCTGGCATTTTCTCATAACAACACAAAGCTGACGTTCAGAACCAGCCAAAGCAGAGAGGTACCGGCACAAGAGGAGGCTCTTACATGTGCTCAGTCTTTATCTTTGAACGTCTTCACTCCAGTTTGAGACAAAAACCTCGAGGCTTCCGTTCTTCGGTTCATAGCCCCATCACTCACATCACCCTTAGCTGCTTTCACTGCCCCATAGCTCCTTGTGCAGCGGACAGTTTTCAGTTCACCTTTATCGGGGTACATGTGCATACTGTCTCCATTTTTGCCCAGCGACGGCTGGTCTGTCAACATATATCCAATATTATCTTTACCTTACATGTGTTTCTGCTTTTTTTTTGTCAAAGCAGAAAGCATAATGCTGAGATGGTATATTAGGGGATTCAGAAATGAACCCATAAATATATAGGTACTGAATATAAGATCACAGCAACACCTTGACCCTACACCGTAGAGTTAAGGCAGTCTTGGGCAATAACATTGGTAAATGGGCTCAGCTGTGGAGAGCAGATACCGCTGTTCTTGGCATTACATTTAAAGGTAGACTCTGTATGCAAAGAACTTGAAAAGTAAAACTACAAATTTAATAAAAGAATATGTAGGAGATTATCTTTGCACTCTAAGTCAAGGCAAGGACATTTTAAACAGCACCCCAAAATGTCAAACCAAAGGGAAATAGTTGTGTCTTCAATATATCAAAGTTCAAGACTTCTGCTGCTTCGTGGAGTACAGTATGAGCAAAGGTGATTGACAAATATCAGAGGAGCGGAAATATTAGCAGTGTCTGAAACCATCATCTGGACTGTATGGCATCCCGTGATTCACAAATGGAGGGGTGTGTGCAGTAGAGAAGTGGGCAGAGGGCGGGTGTGTTTATAGAAGGAACCCTGGAAGGGAAAAAGCATTTGAAATGAAATATAAAAAATGAAGTCAGATGGCATAGCTATCAGGGAGAAAAACAGATCTTGATAGATGCAGGTTAAATATAGGGCTTAAGGGCCCTCTTTTCTTATGTAAATAGTCACGGGCGTCTCCAAATGAAGTATACTCCCTATTCCATGACCCAGAAATTACAGTCTTAGTGCATTTCTTATATGAGATGAATTGTATCCTCTGAATTCACATATCGTTATCCTAATTTCCAGCACCTCAGATATGATTCTGTCGGAACAAGGCCTTTAAAGAGGCAGTGAAGTTAACATGAGGTCATAGCCCAGCTGCACTCTAACCTGGCTGCTATTCTTACAGGAGGAATTCACCTTAGGGATGCATGGGCAAAGATCACTCAGGAGCACAGTGGGAAAGACTTCCAGTTGTCTATGGATCCCTGAGCTATAGCAACTTGTTACTGTAACTCTACCTGACCCATACAAAAATCAGAGAGATTTTATACCTCCGTCCAACTCACAAGCTGTCACATGCTGTCTGTCACAGCATTATTGGAGGGAACCTGGGTGTCCACATGGAGTAGACTGGTAACAGGCAAGAAACAAATGCACACTAGGATGGATGGAATAGCATAGCAATTCTTGGACAAAATATCCATAGTGATGTAGATGAGCAGTTCTCAGCCTGTGGGGACACCTTTGGGGGTCGGGTGACCCATTCACAGGGGTCACCTAGGACCTTTGGAAAGCACTGATTTTTACCTTACGTTTTGTAACAGTAGCCAAATTACAGTTATGAAGTACCAACAAAAATAATTTTATGGTTGGGGGTCATCATGACACAAGAAACTGTATTAAAGCGTTGCAGCATTAGGAAGGTTGAGAATTACCAATGTAGACGAATCATTCAAATACAGTGTTCAGAAAAAAAGGATAAGGGGAGAAAAGATGAACATAAAAGAAAAGATGGATTAGCGACATAGCAATACATATCTTGTAAGAACACACAAAAGCAAAGAGATACAAGTAAACCCTTCTTAGGACAGATATCA